ACGGCAGATAAGAAACCATTCGGCCCATCTAGTCTGCCCAATTTTCTAAATACTTTCATTAGTCCCTAGTCTTATCTTATAGTTAGGATAGCCTTATGCCTATCCCACGCATGCTTAAACTCCTTTACTGTGTTAACTCTACCACTTCAGCTGGAAGGCTATTCCATGCATCCACTACCCTCTCAGTAAAGTAATACTTCCTGATATTATTTTTAAACCTTTGTCCCTCTAATTTAAGACTATGTCCTCTTGTTGTGGTAGTTGTTCTGGTGACTATAGTGTCCCTTTAAGAAGAAACACAGTGGACTATGATAAAATATTTTTGGGAGGGAGGGAGGGGGGATTAAAACAGTGATTATTGGAGCAACTCACAATGTAATGTAAGATATGCACTAGTAGAAGGAAATGAATAGCAAATATACTAAAGATAATTAGGTATTTTCCACATGAAAGAAACTGAAAGAAAGTAAAAGGATTATAATAATTATATAATAGCACAAGTAGTTTTGACTGAGAAAGTGTAATAAACAAAGTAAAAGGGGAAAAAAAGGAAAGAAAAAAATGCACTTTGTAAAATAGATGAGCACATTAGGGAAAAGAGAAGATAAAGAAATTATAAACTAAGACAAACAAAGAACACAAAATATTAAGGGTACTATATAATAATAGTGGATGTAACATAATTCATAATGTAAAAAGTGTGGCACTTATTTATTTGGTAAGCTTATAGTTTAAGTTGAATTTTAATCTTCATGCTCCTCTTCACGCTATACATAGGGCAGATAGTGGTCCAAATTTATATAATTTATATAATTGTAGATATTGATACCCACTTGATTATGTTTTGAACTAATAACCAAATAATAGGGAACCTTAGGTATAGAAACCGCTGGTCCAGACCAACCCTACAAATACCCCTGCTTGGAGGTCATTTAGTAGATATCATCCCTTGACAATATGAATAATTATATTAAGGAATAAATTTAGAGGGGGCTGGAATCCCCCTCGGTTTTAGGTGAGAATGTGTGCTGTTCTCCTTTTTTTATAGGAGAATTTATATGTAGTGTTTATGTGGGGCATGCCGAGACTGGGTCAGGGAGCAATTAAATAAGATATAACTCTGAAGTGCATTTCTATGAATGTACAGGGTTTAAATACCCCATTTAAAAGAAAACTTTTATTTGAATTACTCAGAAAGGACCGGATAGATATAGCTATGATACAAGAAACCCACTGGAAAAGGGAGGAGGAGACCAGATGGAAGTATAAGTTGTATGAGGTAGCCGCACAAGCATCTTTAGAGAGAGCCAAAAAAAGAGGATTGGCCATCATTTTTTCAAAAAGGCTCAATAAAGATATAGTTTACTAAGAGGTAGACAATGAAGGTAGATACCAGATTCTAGTATGTAAAATAGATTTGTTTAATTACATTTTGGTGTATTACCAACTAAGTACTTAAAGAAGATAATGGAAAGGGTGGAAAAGGTTAAATTGGGATTACTAGTTATTACTGGGGATTTCAATTGTGTCCCAGATACAATACTAGATAAAAAAAACTAAAGAGAATAAAAAAATTAGTAAACAACTAAAGAAACAACCTAATACCTTAAGAAATATCATGCAAGAAAATAATTTAATGGACATATGGCAAGTATACCACCCAAAAGAAAAAGAATATACACACCACTCTGGAGTACACCATTCATTGTCCAGAATTGATCTGGTTTTGGGGGAGAAAAGTCTAGTTGAACAAATGCAGAAAATCATAATAAAGGATAATCCATGGGCGGACCCAGGCTTCGGGGTATGTGAGCTGTGCGGCCGCACAGGGCGTCATGAGGCCGACACAGCTTGCACATGGCTGGTGTCAGGTACCCGGGTGGAGGATTTCATTATTCTCCACCCGGGTCTATTAAATAAAAATAAAAAATTGAGGGGGCGGGGCTAATACTTTCCACTGCTGCACAGGAAGAAGGAAAGAGCCCGTGCTTCTCCAACAACCAACTGCATCCACTGGAAAGATGTAAGTGTGTGTGTGTCTGTCTGTCTGTCTGCATGCCTGTGTGTGTGTGTGTGTGTGTGTGTGTGTGTGTCTTTCTGTGTGACTGACTGACTGCCTGCCTGTATGTGTGACTGTCAGTCTGTGTGACTGCCTGCCTGTGTGTGTCTGTCTGCGTGTGTGTGTGTGTGTGTGACTGTCTGTCTGTGTGACTGTCTGTGTGTGACTCCAGTTGTGTGTGTCACTGTAGCTGTGCCGTTGTGTGTGCCTGTATGTGTGACTGTGTTTAACTGAGTGTGTGTGTGTGCGCATGCCTGTAACCGAGTGTGTATGACTGTCTGCTTGTAATGGAGTATTTGTGACTGTCTGCTGGTGACTGTGTGCCTGTAACTGTTTGTGATTGTGTGCCTGTAACTGTGTGACTGTCTGCCTTTAACTATGTGTTTGGCTCTGTGACTGTCTGCCTGTAACTGAGCATGTGTGACTGTATGCCTGTAACTGTGTGTGTGTGTAACTGTCTGCCTGTAACTGAGCATGTCTGACTGTCTGCTTGTAACTGTTTGTGTGACTGTCTGTCTGTGCCTGTGTGTGTGACTGTATACAGGCAACTTGGTGGGGACTTTTCGCACAGGGTGCCTAATTGCCTAAGGCCGGCCCTGGGTGGACCAAAGTTATAATTTGTTTTGATATAAAAGAAAAGAGAAAACATAAACCTTTTAATACGTGGCGCCTGGATGATAATATTCTGTCTAATATAGAAGACCAAAAACAAATTAAAAAGTTAATAGAACTGTACTTTATTGAAAACAAAATGGAAGGCATGTTTTATGCAACCATCTGGAGTGCCTTTAAAGCCGTAGTAAGTGGGTACTTGATAAAACTCAAAAGCAAAATCCAAAGAGAAAAAGGTATCTTTAGGGAAGAATTATACATAGAGTATTACAAGCTATCTAAAAATATCTAAACGATAAAACAATTAGAGGAGATTAAATATAAAAAAAATAATATAGAAATGGAATGTATTAACATGAAAATTAATTTCTATCACAACAACAATAAAAAAACAAAATGGCTAACTAATAAACTCAAAAGGAAATCATAGAAGAATAAGATAGTAAGTATTAAAAAAAGAACATATAACATATAGAAACCCAGAGACTATAGCTAAGATTTTCCAAGATTATTATGAAGAACTATATAATATCCCAAATCAACCAACAGAAAATCAAATAAAAATTTATCTAAAAGATATAAACTTCCCTAAACTAACATGGGAACAAAATAATTCCATAAATGTACCCCTCACTAAGGCAGAATTTAAACAAGCTATTGAAAAATGTGAATATTTTAAGACTCCTGGCCCAGATGGTCTGACTAAGTTTTTATAAAATTTACAAAGATATATTATTGGAACAGTTGGTAAGTGCCTTTAACAAAATTGTGGCAAAAGGTGTAGGGCCAAAAGAAATGCTATAATCCTACCGATCCTAAAAAAGGACAAAGATCCTCAAGAGCTTAGGAACTACCACCCGATATCACTAATAAATGTAGATTTAAAGGTGTTTTGTCAATTATAGCAGATAGGTTAAAGAAAGTGCTCCCCGGCCTGGTCCATGAAGACCAGATTGGTTTTGTTCCCACCAGACTGGCAGGTGCCAACTCCAGGCTCCTGATTAATATAATAGACTGGGAAGAGAGAATGAAGATTCCCCTCCTGAACCTGTCATTGAAAGCAGAAAAGGCCTTCGACAGGATCGGGTGGGGATATATGTTTGGGGTGCTGGAGGCTATGGGCTTTGATGGTTGGATGAGTGCAGCAATTAAAACTATATACCAAGAACCGATGGCTAGAGTTGTGGGAATAGATTTGTGCTCCGACTGGTTCCGATTGGGCAGTGGCACCCGTCAATAATGCCTGCTGTCACCAATACTTTACATACTTTCAATGGAGCCTTTAGCAATAAGAATAAGAGAAAATCCAGGTATAAGGGGGATCCCAGCAGCTGCTAAGGAATTGAAACTGTGTATGTATGCGGATGACACTATAATGACCCTGACTGATCCATTTGCTTCCGTTGCCCATCTGATGAATGAGATAACGCGATATAGCAAAATATCCAACTATAAGGTTGTGTTTAAAAATTGTGAAATGGACAGAAAAAACAGCTTTAAAGAAGCCAAGGGAACTTTTGAATATCTGGGTATATTGTTGTCTGATAACATAGATAGAATAACAGAGATCAACTTCCTGAAACTGATGAAATCCACAGATTTAGTTCTTCAAAAATGGAACACTTTGCTATTAAGCTGGCTGGGAAGAATTAATATCCTAAATGCCTATATAATTCCTAAATTGACTTACTTCTTTAAAATGATCCCCTTAAAAATACCGGCTAGCTGGTTGGAGATTATACAGAGTGTAATAAACGTTTAACTCGCAAGTTGGAATAAACTTGGAATTAATAATAACATTAATAACTAAAAATAATAACTTAAAAACCGAGTGTAAAGTCAGAGTCCACACTCCTTGCTTTCGGCAATTCAATAATATTTATTAATAAAGGCTTAATCAAACAAATAAACAATACATATACATTTGAAATAGGCTAGTATATGTTGCTACTAAAACTAACATTGACTGAATGGAAAGTAGGCTAAATTAACATAGCAAAACAGGCATAGACACGTGATACAGTTACCACTCCATTGATCAGCAGCTGAGAGTAAGAGAGAGAGGGTGTGTATAGTTGGGAGAGGGGAGAGAGGAGAGAGAAGGTGAAGAGAGGTAATTCAAAGAGAGAGAGAATGTGCTATTCACAGGGCTTTAAACAGGTTAGCCCCTCCTTCTGCTGGACACACCTCCCTTAGTCAATCCCTTAGGATGTAACAGAACCAGAGTGCCTCCTGGGGAAGGGGTATTGCATTGGAAGGGAATGGAGGAGGAGTTTATCAACAACCCAACTGGTTTTGCCTGGTGAAAGGCCATGTGCTTCACAGAGGACTCCATTATTGCCTAAGGGTAGAATGGGGGCTTGAATCCCTGTATTAGAACACAATAACACTTCATTGGCATACAGTTTGGCTGTTAATCACATCCCCCCACTTATTACACAGAGAACATTCAGAAATTGTTTGGAAAGGGAAAAGACCCCGTATCAATCAAGAACAATTGAATAATCCCCTGGGCCAAGGAGGTATGAATTTCCCTAGTATTAAAAACCACTATGAGGCTAGCATAATATATCACATTCAGATACTAACTAAAAAAGAAGTAAGAGAAGCAGGATGGTTCACTCTGGAAACCCAAGCAGTAAACTAGAAAGATTTAAATAAGCTAATTTGGCAGAATAAAAGATCTCCTTTACTGAAAGAAATTAAAAACATAACCCTAACCCATATTTGTTCATCTTGGTATAAAATAAGAAAAAAGATGAAAAAAATAGGAAATTTATATGGATTTATGGAACTAGAAATTCTGGAATCTCTAATAGACAATTTAAAATTAGATCTATGGAGAGAAAAGAATATTAAAGTTGTAAATGACATAATAACGGAGGGAAAAATGAAATCATTTGCAACATTAGTTTTAGAATATAATTTACCTACATCTGAAGTGTTCCACTATTTAAGAGTTAAATCACTGCTGCTAAAAAATTTAGACGAAAAGAAAAGTCAAATATCATCATATATGAAAAAAAATTTGAAAAAGGAAAAACAAAAATATTATCCAAATATTATTCGTTGATGAGATCTACGTCTAAAACGATTCTGCCTAGGCAGTTTAGAAAATGGGGAAAGTGAGTGTAATACGGAAATTGATATGTGTGCCTTAGGTGAAACTTTAGTAAGAACTAAGAAAAATGTATAAAACATAATTCTGTTTGAAACACACTATAAAGTGCGCAACAGATGGTATTTAGTGCCAACAAGATTAAATAAAGTCAATGCTAGCGAGTCAAATATGTGCTGGAGATGTAAGAGGGTAGTAGGAAGCTATCTACATATATGGTGGAGTTGTGATAAAATTAAAAAACGTTGGGTTCAGGTTTATAGATTTTTACACGAGTGTGACAGAATTGAGTTAACACCAGTAACAGTACTATTGCATCTGGCTTGGCCAGATTTGACAACATTACAATACTTTTTGGCCACATATAGCTTCATAGCTCTAAAAATTTTGGTGGCAAGGAACTGGAAACAGTTGTCTGAAAATTGTTATACTCAATGGGTAAAACAACTGACCACTCAAGTTAAAATAGAAACAGGTATACGCTGGAGGAAAAGTAAAGTAAATAAGTATAAACTGTTAGGAGAAAAATGTTTAGATATGATAATGACATTTACGTAAAGTCTGAGTAATTTATGGACTTTAGAGTTCTAGTTAAACTGGAAAAATATAAGATAAGAGTTTCCCGGTTCCACTCCGGCAATATTTCCCACATTTGTAGAATGTTGTATGTAATGTAACAATAGCAAATATTATATATTACAAATGTTTGCTTAACAATTGTATGGATGTTTTATAATGTTTTTGTATGTTGTAAAAATGAATAAACACTATAAAAACAAAAAAAATTAGCACCCTGCATCATCATCCAGCATCAGTTTGGCCTGCATCAGATGCATGCACAGACACAATTGGTGCACGAAAGGTGCGAAGACTGGTGTCAAAATGAAAATAAAAGGTGCAGCTTAGAAGCAACTGGCATCTTTACAGTCTTGTGTGCGATAAATATAATGCAAGGTGTCAGGAATGTCTGTTGCTCGCCATTGCTAAACAGACTCAGGTAACCTTCCACTGCTACCTATTGATTCATTAATTTGTTATTTTACAATTGTTAAGCACCTTTTTTTCCACACCTACTGTATAATTTACTAACATCTTAAGACCTTCATATTTTTAAGCTCTTCATGTTCTGCGTCATCACACACAACACGGTCACGCCAAATTTGCCCTATATTTATTATTATTATTATGTTATTTTTTATATAGCGTCAACAAATTCTGCCGCGCTTTACAGTGGGTGGACGAACAAACATGTAGTTGTAACCAGAAAGGTTGGACACAGGAGCAGAGGGGTTGAGGGCACTGATCAATGAGCTTACATGCTAGAGGAAGTGGGCTAACGTGACACAAAAGGTAAGGATAGTATTATACTAATGACAGTTGCAAGAGAGGAATCAGTTGGGAGCTATTAACAGTTTAATTGATATGCTTTTATGAAGTGGGTTTTTAATGATTTTTTGAAGGAGTGGAGACTGGGTGAGCATCTAATGGAGGACGGAAGTGAGTTCCACAGAAACGGTGCAGCCCACGAGAAGTCTTGAAGGCGAGCATCAGAGGTGGGAGTATGAACAGAAGATAGACGTAAGTCTTCAGCAGAGCATAAGGGTCTAGACGGGACATGCTTGTGCAATAGGGGGGATAGATAGGTGGGAGCAGCATTATGTAGAGATTTGAAAGCAAGAACCAGAATTTTAAATTGAGCCCTATATCTTACAGGAAGCCGATGTAGGGACTGACAAGGGTGAGGCGTGGGAGGTGCGGGCGAACAGGAAAATGAGCCTCGCTGCATTCATTATGGACTGTAACGGCGCAAGTTGGGAGCATGTAAGACCACTGAGAAGCGGATTACAGTATTCAAGGCGAGAAAGGACAGTGAAATGGACCAGCACCTTAGTCGCATCTGGCATTAGGTAGGGTCAGATGCCCGAAATGTTTTTGAGATGGAAGCGGCGGGTTTGGCGATAGACTGAACATGAGGCGTGAAGGAGAGGTCGGAGTCAAAGAGAACACAAAGTAGCGAGACTGCGTGGTGGAGCTGATGGTAGCACCATTGACTTGCAGGGAGGGAGACACAGGAGTAGCAACACCTGAGTGAGGAAAGACCAGAATTTCAGTTTTGGTCAAGTTGAGTTTATGGAAGTGCGCAGCCATCCAGTTAGAAATAGCAGTCAGAGGCACTTGTCAGGAGGGACGGGGAGAGATCAGGAGAGGACAGATAGATTTGTGTAGAAATTATATTGGAAGCCAAAGGAGCTAATGTGTTTACCAGGGCCGTCTTTAGCGCGGGGCAAACGGGGCCCCGGGCCCAGTTGCTCCTGGGGGGCCCCCGCGATTTGCGCAGCCCCCTTGGAACCGGCGGTGCGGCTCTGTCCCACACGCTAAAGAGGGCATTTGTCAGCTGGGGGCCGGTCGGGCGCTGTGATGCTTGGCGCTGTTTGGCAGCCGGCTGGGAGGAAGTGAGTGTCGCGCGTCACTTCCGGAGATCAGAGCCGCGCGGGAGGAGGAAGGGAGGGAGGAGGGGAGTTTCAGAGGAGAACTCCCAACTGCCTCAGACTGCCACTGGACCACTCTCCAGAAAAGGTAAGGGTGGTTGGAGGGTGGCTAAATGTATGTCAGTATGTCTGTGTGTGTCAGTCAGTATATCTGTGTGTATGTCTGTCTGTGTGTCAGTATGTCTGTGACAGCATGTCTCTGTGTGAGGAACTGACTCTGCTGGGTTTCGAACCCTGGTTTACATGGTGCTAAACCTCTTACTTACCAGTACACCAGCCTGCCTTTTGCAAATTTACCTGAGATCTGATACCATTGCTTGTAGAGTCAAGGTTATCAGTGACAACTCTCTTCAGCTGTGTCTGGTCAGGTGTCTGGTTCTTGGCCTATAAAAGCCACTTCCTGTCTCTGTACCTTTGCCAGATTATTGTGGTTCCTGTACTCTCTAATCAAGCGTGTTCCTGTTTCTCCTTCCTGTTGCTGAATTTGGACTGTTTTGACTTTGCTGCTTCTCCTTCCCACTGACCTCGGCTTGCCTCACTACGATTATCATCTTTCTGTTCCAGTCTCCCATCTCTGCTTAAGACCAGAAGGCCACTCAAGGCTCAGGGGCTCAACCACCTGGGTAACGAGTGGCTACCTCTGGCAGAAAACATTGCTGATCTGGCTACTGGACTCCAAAACTTTGTAACATCAATATCATTACAGAATAATCTGGCCATTCATGGAGACCGTCGGATCAGATTCTGCATTGGCCCAGCAGGTTGCTTTTAATGCAAGAACTATGCAGACCCAGGCACAGACCATTCAAGTGCTGCAGGATCAGGTAGCTGAACTGCAAAATGAAGTTCAATCAATGCATAGTGAGCTTACCAGCTACAGGGCACATGATGTTGCGGCTGATGCTACTACTACTGTTACACCTGCACTAGATGCCCGCTTGCCTCTACCAGAAAAATTTGGAGGAGACCGCAAAAAATTTAGGGGTTTCCTAAATCAATGCCGTTTGCATTTCATGATGTTACCTAACCGTTTTCCATCTGAAAGAGAGAAGGTGGGATTTATTTTTTCCCTCTCCAAAGATGAAGCCCTGGCCTGGGGCTCCCCTTTTCTGGAACAGGACAGTCCAGTCCTGGGAAATTTAAAAGACTTTCTTGAGGCCATGTGCCTAGTTTTTGATGATCCGAATCGCTGTGCTACAGCAAAAGCCACTCTCCTTCATTTACATCAAGGGAGGCGCTCTGTGGCTGAATATGCTGCTGAATTCAGACAGTGGGTTACTGATACTACTTGGAACCAATCAGCCCAGAGATTCCACTTCAGAAGGGGTCTCTCAGAAGCTATAAAAGATGAGCTAGCTCGTGTTGATCTTCCTGTTGAGTTTGATGCATTTGTGCGGTTGGCTATCCGTATTGATCGGAGACTTTCAGAAAGAAGATTGGAAAGACAGGGCTCTTTTAAACCAAGTGCTACTCCTACTTTCTATTCAAGAATTTCTACTCCGACCCCACAAACACCTACAGACTCTGAACCTGAGGCTATGCAGGTAGATCTAATAAGAGGGCCATTATCCAATGAAGAAAAACAGTGGCGACGCACTCACAATTTATGCCTGTATTGTGGTAGTACAGGGCATTATGCCATCAATTGCCCTAACAAGTCTAAAAGAACAATAGCTATGACTGCTGAGGGTGCACAGATTCAACACCAATCCCAGATTTCAGACCAACTGGATTCTGTCACACAACCCTTGTTTTCTCTGGCTCAGGGTGAAGAAGGTATGATGACTCAACATCCTCATTTGGTGGTGCCTATCACTTTGCAATATGGTAATAATAAAATTTCAACTACAGCTATGATAGATTCCGGAGCAGGCGGAAACTTTATGGACATTAAATTTGCAGCAGGAAATAAAATTCAGTCTATCCCTAAATCTTCACCTGTGTTAATGGAAACAGTAGACGGTTCTCCACTTACGTCAGGCCCGGTTACACATGAGACTGTGCCCTTAAAATTGATTCTGGACGTGAATCACCATGAGTCTATATCTTTCCACCTAATTTCCTCAACACAGTTTCCAGTGATTTTGGGTATACCCTGGCTTGCTCTGCATAACCCACAGATTGATTGGAAGACTAGAACCTTGTCCTGCTTGATGAATTGTCAACCCTCTAAGGCGACACCTGTTACCACAATTAATGAAATGGTTGCTACAAACTTAACTAAGCTTCCTCTACAATATCGTGATTTTGCAGATGTCTGTGATAAGAAGAATGCTGATCAGCTTCCACCTCACAGGCCTTATGATTGCCCCATAGAGCTGCTACCTGGAGCTGCTATCCCATTTGGCCGTATATACTCCCTTTCTGAGCCTGAATTGAAAGCACTTCGTGAATACATACAAGAAAATCTTGCCAAAGGCTTTATTCGACCATCCACTTCTCCAGCAGGAGCTCCTATATTCTTTGTAGAAAAGAAAGATGGCAGTCTACGGCCATGTGTCGATTACAGGGACATTAATAAAATCACTGTTAAAAACCGTTATCCCTTGCCTCTCATTCCTGAACTTCTGGAGAGACTTCGTTCAGCTAAAATATTTACGAAGCTTGATCTACGGGGGGCATATAATCTGGTTCGCATAAAACCAAATGATGAATGGAAAACAGCTTTCAGAACCAGGTACGGACATTACGAATATCTAGTAATGCCATTTGGGCTTTGTAATGCCCCTGCAACTTTTCAGCATCTAATCAATGATGTACTACGGGATCTCCTGGATCAGTTTGTTGTGGCATATTTGGATGATATCCTGATATTTTCTGATAATCTTGAAAATCACAGAAAACAGGTCTGCATTGTTCTTGAGCGCCTTCGTACCCACCACCTATACATTAAACTGGAAAAATGTGAGTTTGAACAAACAGAAATTCAGTTCCTGGGGTATGTAATAACTCCTAAAGGTTTAAGTATGGACGCAAGTAAAATTAAAGCTGTGCTGGACTGGCCCATCCCCAAGAATGAAAAAGATATACAGAGATTTGTGGGGTTTGCCAATTTTTACAGGCGTTTCATTAAGAATTTCTCTGCCGTTATTACACCGATCACTGAACTTACACGTAAAGGGACTCCTTTTCAGTGGTCCAATAAGGCTGACACTGCATTTTCCAGATTAAAGACTCTGTTTACATCTGCCCCTATCTTGGTACATCCTCAGCCAGAATTTCCATTTACTGTAGAGGTAGATGCTTCTGATTCAGCTGTTGGGGCTATACTGTCTCAAAGGACTGGACCTAAGATGTTGTTACATCCATGTGCCTTCTATTCCCGCCAGATGTTACCAGCAGAAAGAAATTATGACATAGGGAATAAAGAACTTTTGGCTATAAAAGCTGCCTTCACCGAATGGAGACATCTCTTGGAGGGAGCCACCCATCCAATTACTGTCCTCACAGATCACAAAAATCTGGAATGTATCCAATCCGCTAAGAGACTGTCAGCCAGACAAGCACGCTGGTCCCTATTTTTCTCAAGGTTTAATTTTTTTATTTCATACCGCCCTGGTTCCAGAAATGGCAAGGCGGATGCCTTGTCTAGGATAGCTGACCCCCTCCATACTACAGTAACCAAGGCCACCATCTTGCCGGAGAGCAGATTTTTAGGAGTTACCTTTCCTTCTGATCTAATGTCTCGCATTAAAAAGGGCTACTCTAAAGATCCAGTTTTTCGTGATCCTCCTCGTGATCTTCATATGACCATGCTTAATGGGTTTTGGATTTTTCAACAACGTCTGTTTGTTCCAGAATCAGTGCGACTGGACGTTTTACGCCTCTACCATGACTCTAAACCAGCAGGTCATCCAGGAATCCGAAAGACACAAGAACTACTTACCCGATCCTTTTGGTGGCCTAAATATTATGAGGATGTTAAGAAGTATGTGTCCTCTTGTGATGTATGTGCCAGACATAAGACTCCTCGCTCATCCCCTGTTGGCTTGCTTCAGCCTCTTCCGATTCCTCATCGTCCCTGGGGATCTATATCCATGGACTTTATTGTGGAACTACCTCCCTCTAAGGAACACACTACCATTCTTGTTGTTGTGGACCGGTTAACTAAGATGAGTCATTTCATACCAGCTCGTGGTCTCCCTTCAGCTAAACAGACTGCTGACCTTGTTATTCGGGAAATATTTCGCTTGCATGGAGTGCCTGATGAAGTAATTTCTGACAGGGGAGTGCAGTTTACATCTCATTTTTGGAAATATTTTTGTTCTATTCTAGGTATTAATGTAAATCTGTCTTCAGCTTTTCATCCACAAAGTAATGGACAGACTGAGCGAACCAACCAGACTTTAGAACAATATTTGCGGTGCTATATTAGTTACCTGCAGGATGACTGGCTGGATTTTCTACCCACGGCGGAGTTTGCCTATAACAATGCCCAACACTGCTCCACTTCTCTGAGCCCATTTTTTGCCAATTATGGTTACCATCCAACCTTTCTAGTGAGTCTCCCAATTACTACTCCCATTCCTGCAGTCACTGACCGGCTAACCGCCTTACGAGATTCCCAAGAACTGTTGAAGGAGACTCTTTCGGAGGCTCAGGAATGTTACAAAAGAGCTGCTGATAGGCACAGAAAGGAGGCCCCAGTTTATCATGTTGGTGACAAGGTTTGGCTGTCAACAAAGAATCTTAAGCTTAGGATTCCTTCTCATAAATTGGGTCAAAAGTTCATGGGACCTTTTAAGATAATCGCTCAGATCAATGCAGTCACCTTCCGTCTGCAACTTCCGGATTCCATGAAAATACATCCGGTGTTTCACGTGGCACTGCTTAAACCTTTTCATGAAAATACTTTCCCTGGTCGAGCCTTGCCTGCCCCACCACCAGTCCTCGTGGATGGTGAAGATGAATACGAGGTGGAAAAAATTCTTGACTCCAGGATCTTCCGCAACAAGCTTCAATATTTGGTTCATTGGAAAGGCTATGGTGAGGAGGATAGATCGTGGGAACCAGTGGACAATATTCATGCTCCTGATCTTCTTCAGTCTTTCCATGCACAGTACCCTGCTAAACCAGGAAATAGGGCATCCAGAGGCTGCGCCTGTAGAGGTGGGGGTAATGTGAGGAACTGACTCTGCTGGGTTTCGAACCCTGGTTTACATGGTGCTAAACCTCTTCCTTACCAGTACACCAGCCTGCCTTTTGCAAATTTACCTGAGATCTGATACCATTGCTTGTAGAGTCAAGGTTATCAGTGACAACTCTCTTCAGCTGTGTCTGGTCAGGTGTCTGGTTCTTGGCCTATAAAAGCCACTTCCTGTCTCTGTACCTTTGCCAGATTATTGTGGTTCCTGTACTCTCTAATCAAGCGTGTTCCTGTTTCTCCTTCCTGTTGCTGAATTTGGACTGTTTTGACTTTGCTGCTTATCCTTCCCACTGACCTCGGCTTGCCTCACTACGATTTTCATCTTTCTGTTCCAGTCTCCCATCTCTGCTTAAGACCAGAAGGCCACTCAAGGCTCAGGGGCTCAACCACCTGGGTAACGAGTGGCTACCTCTGGCAGAAAACATTGCTGATCTGGCTACTGGACTCCAAAACTTTGTAACATCAATATCATTACACTGTGTGTGTGTCAATAGTCTGTCAGTGTATGTGTGTGTGTCAGTATGTCTGTGTGTATGTCAGTATGTGTCTGTGTGTATGTCAGTATGCCTGTCTGTGTGTATGTCCGTATGCCTGTGTGTGTCAAATATCTGTCTGTGTGTGTCAAATATCTGTCTGTGTGTGTGTGTCATTATGTCTGTGTGTGTGTCAGTATGTTTGTGTGTGTGTCTGTATGTGTGTGTGTCAGTATGTCTGTCTGTGTGTCTGTCAATATGTCTGTCTGTGTGTCAGTGTGTGTATATCAGTATGCCTGTGTGTGCCTGTGTGTGTCATTTTGTCTGTGTGTGTCAATACTTCTCTCAGTGTATGTGTGTGTGTCAGTATTTATGTCATTGTATGTGTCTGTGTGTGTGTGTCAGTATGTTTGTCAGTGTATGTGTCTGTGTGTGTATGTGTGTGTCAGTAAGTCTGCCTGTGTGTATGTCAGTATGCCTGTGTGTGTGTCAGTGTGTCTGTGTGTATGTCAGTATGCCTATGTGTGTCAGCATGTCTGTGTGTCAATACATCTGTGAGTGTATGTGTCTGTGTGTGTGTCAGTATTTCTGTCAGTGTATGTGTCTGTGTGTATATGTATGTGTGTGTCAGTATGTCTGAATGTGTGTCAATATGTCTGCCAGTATATATTTGTGTGTCAGTGTATGTGTGTGTGTGTTAGTATGTATCTGTGAATGTTTTAATATGTCTGTCTGTGTGTGTATGTGTCAGTATGTCAGTGTGATTGGGGGTTGGGCATAATTGGGGGCAAGGGGGGATTGGGAGGGCTGCAGGGGCCCAACAAAATTCTTTGCCCAGGGTCCTATTCATATTATAGACGGCCTTGGTGTTTACCAAGGGAGGCAGTATAGATAGAGAACAGTAGGGGACCAAGGACTGTCTCTTGGGGGACACCAACAGAGAGGAGTTTGGGAGAAGAAGCAAAGCCCAAGAAAGAAACACTGGGAGAGGTAGGAGGAGCACCTGGAGAGCGCAACATATTGTATCCGATATTGCCGAGGATGAGAAGAAGCTGTTGATGATCAACAGTGTCAAAATCCACGGAAACGTCAAGGAGAATTAGGATAGAGTAGTGACCACAAAATTTTGCAGCAAGTAGATCACTGGATACTTTGGT